ATATCCACATATCTCTAGAATATTCCATTTATAATCCAATTCATTCAAATACACACCTTTATCATCCAATACACATCTTTATCATCAAATCTGTCAATATGTCTCACAACACTCACCATTCTACTGTCTTGCAAGCTCATAAAAAAACTTCAATTACTCTGCATCTTTGACTGCTCAAACTATCTGTTCTGAATGTTTTGAATAGTGATGAAAATCCAACTGATGATGAGAAGGAGGATAAGACAAAGAAGATGAAGAAGAAGAAGAAGAAAACACAATTAAAAGATTTTCAATTTTTATAAATATTTTATAATGAGTGTACTTCAATTAATGATTTAGCATTATTCTAAATACAGATTATGAATTGATTAAGAAAAGAAAGAGAAAAAAAATCAGAAGAAAAAATCATACAAAGAGAGTTTTTATAAAAAAAAAAAATTGAAGCAGAAGAATATCAAAAATCATCTTACAATGAAATATGAAGTGAAAAAACATTAAAAGTTATATGGAAAAATTGTTAAAACTACATGAGTGTGGAATGTGAGACAGAAGAGATTATACAAAATAATTGTTAAAAACTATATAAATATGAAGCATAATAACAGAGATAAATAGATGCAAAAGAGAAGTTGATTGTGTAAGTTAATTATTAACAGATGTTAATTTGTTATATTATTTTTTTTTTATCAAAATAAATAATAACTTGTAGACATTGAGAGCAGCAGTGTTCTTCATAGTGAATGTGGGTTTCCAGGTCAGACAATTATATTTTACTCATTTGACAAAGTATTCACAGCAGCAGTGATTGATTCTATCATTAAGAATTGCTTTAATTTTTCATTTAAATTTATTATTTTTTTCTATGATGATGTGAGGGGTGATGACAGTGTGAAGAGTGAATAGTAGAAGATAGTATATAGTGTAGTGGAAGATAATAATAATTTATAGTAGTAGTATAGTGAAGTTGTAGTTGTAGTTGTAGTGTAAATTGTAGTGTAGCTAATCGCTGAAGAGGAAAAGAAAGAGAAAGAAGATGTGCGAAATACATGCATCCATATATATATACATATAGAAATAGTGGTAGCGAGAGTATAATGGAAAGAGGTAAGAATAGACGAAGATATAAACAAAGATAATATAATAATAAGGAAATAATAAACGAGTGCATTACAGATGACAGATGATTGTCAGTTGAAGATTTTTTGTGAGAGGAATGAGTTTTCAACTGCAGATCAGACCAGATTTGTATGAAAGATGTTGTAAATGTCAAATAAAATATTGAGTTGATAATTATGTATACTCGGAATCATTATCACAGTATATTTAATTTGATGATAATTTGGTATATATAAAAAACAGTTCATTCTTATATTTTTAAGATTTAATCAAATTTTATTTTTTATATAATATCAAATCATAAAACTTTTTCTGATGTTTATTTGATTTTCATAATCTTATTGAACATTGATTATGAAAGTCTCTGTTCATTCATAAACCTTTTTAAACTTATTTATAATATTCTCTGCTATTTGTATGAAGCTGCAGATGTATATGATTTTTCGGAGATTTTCAGAGAAATTCAGAACTTTTAAATTATATCTGTATAAAAAAAAGAATGAGTTTATATTTATTGTGATAAAATTTTAATTATTAATTGCAATCTCAATGTGTAGCAGCAAATGGTTTCAATTATCTTATGTGTAATTGCAGAATTTGCAGAGAATGTTTTTTATTATTTATATCATTTTTTTTATGATTCCATCAATTTCTGAATGATACACCGTTGACAATTTTTGCTTGATTTTTAGCAGCTAATATACATGAATTCAAAGTATGCTGACGAATTGACTGCTTTTATCTGATACAATGAATGAAGACAGACTGTGTATACAATAGAATAAGCTTTTGATAAAAGCATTTGCAATTACTTCAACATTCATTTTGTCACAGAGCTACAGTATTACATTTTTATTGAATCAATCAACAATGATTAAAATGTTTGTAAAACCTTCATTTTCAGATAGAGAAACTGTGAAGTCAATTGCTATATCACATTAAATTTATTCAGAAATAGATAGAGGTTTCAGCATTTCTTTTCATTGTTCATATCATGCTGTTACTGAGTCATAATGATTGCAATTGCATATAAACCAGCATACATTCTTTAATATATTCAATCAGTAAAAGTTTTAAGCTACAATGCTGTACATAATCTCACAATCTGAATGTTCAATTATTGATGAGTTGTGAATCTTCTGCATAATTTGTGTTTATAAAGGTTTTAGATTGAAAATCCATTGTCTATTTTGGAAATGTGAACATTTATTATTATTAATTGAACATGCTGAGATGCCTGTTTTTGAATATATGTTTGCAGGAAATCAAAATGCTCTGTTCTGTATAACTTCAACAGCTTATTATCAAGATTTATCTATCTCTACTGCTTACCTTCATTGTTTTTCAAATGAGAGAGATTAAATATGAAATTGATTAATATATATGCAGAATGCATTTGATTATGTGAAACTTTCTATAATTATAAAGTTGATTAATTAATACTTTTGATATTTCCATCTGTCATTCAAATCATCAGGTGATATATTTTGTTTTCAATGAAATAAAATATTTCTAAGAGTGTTTTCTACTTCTGATCAGTAATGAATTCTAAATGAGAATCAGTTAAGAAATAATGATCAGTGCATATGCTTCTCAATAAGTTTATAAATGATTGTGAAGTATTTTAAATTCTTATGATCAGTGATGATTTTGAACTTTTCAACACTTATAAACTCTGACTTCTATTCTTTTAAATATCATATGATAGTCAAGAGTGTTTTATCATAGATTTTATAGTTACATTTAGTAGAAGACATTTTTTTTAAAATGAATGTGCAAAATTGTAAAATGTTTTCATTATTGTATTGCATCAGCATTTCTCCAATCATGTAATCAGAGAAGTCTGTTTCAAAAATCATATGCTTGTTCAGATTAAATGATTGCAGCATCAGAGTGTTTATAAATATATACTTCAGTTTTTTGAATGCTGCATCTGCTTTATCAATTCGTTAAAATACAATGTCTTTTCAGATCAGATTCATCAATGATTGTATAATATTAAAAAAGTTCTTGATGAATTTTCAGTAAAAATTGACAAACTCTAAAAAGCGTCTAATTTCATTTACTGAGACTGATGTCTTTCAATTGAGAATTGCTTTCATCTTCTTAGAATCTATGTGTACACCTCTTTCAGCTTTGATGATGAACCTCAGATAAGTTGTAAATTTAATTTCAAAGTTGCATTTATCAATGTTCATCTGTAATTCAGCTTTATGTAAGTGGGTAAGCATTTATTATACATGCTTATGATGCTCAGTGAGTGAGTCATCTGTAAAGATTAGAATATCATCCATGTATGCTGATATGATCTCATTCAACATATTTGTAAGCAGCGATGTTGGAAATGGCTGCTTATATTTCGGTTGGTCCTTAGGACTCTACGAGGATCAAGCAGTAGGAGATAATACGGTGATATATCGGAGAGGATTCGGATCAAGTAGTTAGATATTGAGGGTGTAGAACGT